AGGGCGGATCGGGAGGTTGCGATACCACCCCCAGTCACGGTCAGGGTAGGGCCGATTGGGGGGTTGGGGCACCACCCCCTGTCACACTCAAGGCAGAGTCGATGGGTGGTTGCAGTGCCACCCCCTGTCATGCACAGAACAGGGCCAATCAGGGGGTTGGAGCGCCGCCCCTGTCCCTCACAGAGCAGGGCCCATCAGGGGTGTTGGGGCTCCGTACCTTGTCACGCACAGAGCAGGGTTGATCAGGGGGTTGGGGAGCTCCCCCCTGTCATGCATAGAGCAGGGCTGATCAGGGGGTTGAGGAGCTCCCTCCTGTCACTCACAGAGTAGGGCCGATAGGGGAGTTGGGGCACCGCCCCCTGTCACACACAGAGCAGGGCGGATCAGGGGGTTGGGGCACCACCACTGTCACACTCAGGGCAGGGCCAATGGGGAAGTTATGGCTCTACCCCGTCACACACATAGCAGGGCCCGTGGTGGGGGGTTGGGGCGCCGCACTCTGTAACACACAGAGCAGGGCGGATAGGGAGGTTGTGGCCCTGCCCCTGTCACACACAGAGCCACAGGGTAATCAGGGGGTTTGGGCACTGCCCCCGTCACACTGATACCGGTGCCGGGAGGCCTTGTGGCTCTGCTGATCCCGGTGCTGGGAGGTATTTTACCCTTTTACTATATAGGATAGAGGCCTGGTGCATAGGTGGGGCCGGCTGGTTTGCCCTGAAGGGTGTCCTGGATCAGGGTGGGGGTCCAGTTTGGGGGCCTGGCCAGCCTGGGTGAGGAGATGATGGCTGTTTGCACCTGGTCACACACCCTTCAGGGTGGTGGTCCCCACTGGGGTGCCTGGCCAGTCTGGGTGAGGGGCTGAGGGCTGTTTTCAGGCTGGCGGGTGACTGAAGCTTCAACTGCTCCTTTTTTTCTTTTTTCTTTTTAATTCTGGGCCAACTTTAGTTCTGAGGCTTGGCTCCAGCTCTTAGGCCTCCACTGCTGAAAGCAGGTATCTTGTTTGTTTGGGTTCTATAATCGAAACACTGTTTCAACTCCAGGTCTGAGATCCAGGCTGGCTGAAAGCAGGTTTCTGGGGTTTTGTTTAGCTTTTATATTTGTAACAATGTTTCAAACTGCAAGCTCAGAGGTCGGCAGCGGCAGGCCGGGAACGTTGGAGTCCTCCGTCACTGAAGCAAGGAAGCCTCATGTTCTCTTTAAGCTGCCTGGTTGCCCGCCGCCATCTTGACTGGCAGTTAATTTGGATATCACCCTGATTAGCCAATGGGAAGGGTAGCAGAGGTACGGCTAATTACCATGTTTCTCTTTTATTAGATAGGATGTTACCGAAGCTAATTATTTGCAATTTAGATATAGTACTTTTTTATGAGTTGCAAATAAATAGCTCTTTGTGGATAATTAATAATGACTCACTTATATATAGCTACAATTTTATTTTATTTTATTTTTATTTTATTTTATAGTTTAAAGTATTACAAATAGTAGTACATATGTCTCCTTTTTTTCCTCATTGAACTTCCCCTGGCCTCTCCTACCCCCCCCCACACAGCCCATTGTGCTCCCCCACACACACCCTTCCACTCATGCTCTCACCCCCCTGGTGTCTGTGTCTGTTGGTTATGCTTATATGCATGCATACTATAGCCACAATTTTATATGAATGCATTGACTTAATAAAAGAGAAAAATCATTCATTTCCTTTTTCCTGATGTAGCAAACTGGGATTGAGTACTGAGAAAAGGTTAGTTCAGCTCCATAGAGAATGCCACAGCTGACATAGTTACAAGGTCATTTTTTTGCCGTGCTTCTTATCCAAAGTGATACCTAAATTATCTTAGACAAATGAGAATTGGCTCTTTCTTGCAAAGCTTTCCTTGGATAGAGGAACCCTTTATATTAAACACAGCAGAAAAGAAAACAAGAAAGAAATACAATTTTATCAATCTCAAATGATTAATGGTGTTCCAGGGTTTTACTTTTTGTAAATTCTTTAGATTTTCTTTGAAGATGATTATTGTACTGTAAATAAACTGAGACACCTCTTATTTCTTCCATAAAAGTTAATGAAGTGAGAGTTGTGTGCTAAAATAACAGAAATAGCAGATTAAAACTCTTCCAAGCCCTGGCTGGTGTGGCTCTGTTGGTTGAGCATCCTCCCATGCACCAAAAGGTCACAGGTTCAATTCCCAGTCAGAGCACATGGTTAGGTTGTGGGCTCAATCCCCAGTAGGGGTCATGCAGGAGGCAGCTGATCAATATTTCTCTCTCTCTCTCCCTCTCCTTTCCTCTCTCTCTAAAATCAATTAAAACATTAAAAAAACAAACCCATTATTCCAAGTGTTTTGTTAGAGATAGCAGAGATAGCCAAATAAGACAGCAGACATATAGTTAATTTTTGGAGGGTAGGAAATTGCATTGTTTGTAACATTCTAAAATAAAGAGAGCACTTTTAAAATATTTTGTTGAGAGAAGCACATAAGAGCTTTTTAATGTGTCTTGTTCTGAAAAGTCACAGCAAAACCCATATTTAGAAATAGTATTTGGTTATGTGGAATGTCCAGAAGGCCAGTAAGAACTATTGATTACACACCAACTGTTATCCTGAAAACAGTTGCGTTTACTTACACTGAGAAGAACTATTCTTTTAAAAATAAAGCTCTTTAAAGGAAAAGCAAAACAATGTTATTTTGTTTATCTTTGTTCAACGCTGTTCTTTATGTGACAAAATATAATTATTTGGAAATGTTAGTTTTGGGTGAGTGTTTGAAGTTAAAAGCATTCTGGCTCTTTGGTAAATAAATTAAGGGTATATCAAATATTTTAATTAGTAAAATGACTTTTTAGCATTCTGAGGCAGAGAGTTCTCAGAAAACTTGTGTAAGTGTTCCAGTGAGAAATATGCCTTTTTAAAAAATATATATATTTTATTGATTTTTTACAGAGAGGAAGGGAAAGGGATAGAGAGTGAGAAACATAGATGAGAGAGAAACATTGATCAGCTGTCTCCTGCACACCCCTTACTTGGGATGTGCCCGCAACCAAGGTGCATGCCCTTGACTGGAATCAAACCTGGGACCCTTCAGTCCCCAGGCCAACACTCTATCCACTGAGCCAAACCAGTCAGGGCGAGAAATATGCCTTTTAAAAAATTTTGTAACAATGTCTGGTTCTTTCAAGAACATCCTATCTAACAATAGACAAAGATTGAAATTGACTGTACCTTCGCTACGCCTCACATTGGTTAATCAGTGAGATATGCAAATTAACCACCAACAAAGATGGCAGCTAATTTGCATACTGCAGGCAGATCCCGCTGCACCACCCCAGCACGGATTCCGGGCCTGCCGTGTCTTGGGCGGGTGGGCAGGGTGGGCAGCAGCATGATCTGAGCTGCTGTCCCCACCTCCCCCCCCCAGCTTGATATCCAAGCCTGCTGTGTCTTGGGCGGGGTGGGCGGGGTGGGGGGCAGCGTGATCCAAGCTGCTGCCCGCCCCAGCATGGGATCCGGGCCTGGCGTGTCTTGGGCAGGGTGGGCGGGACGAGTGGCAGCATGATCTGAGCGGCGGCTCGCCCCAGTGTGGGATCCGGGCCTGCCATCTGCCACCGGGGGAGACAGTGCAGACACTGAGGGATTGGGCGTGCCATCTGCCACCTGGGGAGCAACCCTAAGCCAGCAGGTGGTTATCTCCCGAGGGGGTCCCAGACTGTGAGAGGGCACAGGTTGGGCTGAGGTACCCACCTCCCCTGCCAGTGCACAAATTTTTGTGCATGGGCCTTCTAGTTAGAATAATAAAACAGAATCCTAACTGGATTGCGGAATAAACAATATTGGACCCTTCTGTTGCCTTCATGTGCATTTCACTTAATACTCTGGGGTATTTCTAAGTCTAGATATTCATTTGTTCCACAAACATTTTTCTTTAGGTCCATATGTTACGTGAGAATTTTAAAATATTGCCATAAGCTTTTTGTGGATTATTTGGATGATAAAGTCATAATAATAAATTTTTTATTTTGCAAAATTTTGTTCTTCTTACAAAATAGTCCTTCAGTTTTTCTTTCTAGGATTACCTTTCATTATGCTATCTCAGGCCTCCTGGCTGATAAATTACATGGTATTTCCAGAATTTCACTTTTATTTTAGTAGTACTGAGTAGATATGACCTGAGTAGAAATTAGCCTCTGCAAATAATCTGAAAGTCATTTAATGTCATTACTTAATTTTTCTTACTCTTCTTTATATTCCTACAAAGTAAGGTATAGTGTTTGTTATTAATCTACTTCAGAATTATGTTTAAAAGATTCTGCTAAAAGAATGTGTCCAAGGATACTTGGTGGATTGAGTAGTTTCTACCCATATATGGTTCAAACAGCTTTGTACCACTAGCTAGTTAATTTACTCATTTGTTTTTTCCACCCTTTAATTGATAAACATATCTGTGTTTTAATAATTAGGTGTCTTTATCCACAAATTTATTTAATATTCAAACAACAGAGGAAAATTCTTTCTTTTTAACCAAGAAAGTAATATGCTGTGTGTGTGTGGGTGCATTTTGACTAATTACCTTTTTGTGTTTTGAAACATAGCACAAACAGAAAAAGTAGTTACAATGTATGTATGTATGTATGTATGTACAATTTAAATGATAGTAAAATGAATATTGGAGTTCTCACTACTCTGCTTAAGAGACACCTGCTACATATTAGGAAGGAAAAACGCTAAAAAACAGTAAATTACATATACTTTACCCTAACCCAATGAAGCAATCTTATTCCAGTAACTTTATTTATTTATTTATTTATTTATTTATTTATTTAAGTATATTTTTATTGATTTCAGAAAAGAGGGGAGAGGTAGAGAAAGAAACATCAATGATGCAAGAGAATCATTGATCAGCTGCCTCCTGCAGGCCCCACACTGGGGATCTAGCCTGAAACCTGGGCATGTGCCCTGACCACCAGAAATCGAACTGTGATCTCATGGTCCATAGGTCTCATAGGTCAACACTCAATCACTGAACCATGCCAGCCAGGCCAGGTAACTATTTACATATCTCTTCTTCACACATTCTTTTGCTTCAAAATCAGGATATTCAAATTACTCAGATACCTATATATGATAGTCATTTAAGAAGGAAAGATGGGGTCTAAAGAAAGAGGGAAAGGTGGCTGATATCATTGATCTTCTATTAATAAGAATGAAATGTCATTAGAGCCTAATACTGTCTTCTCTGGAGTAGTTGCTCTCAACATGGCCTCCAGTGATACTAAAATAATGTGAGGAAAGAATGGTGTTGGAATGGGATTTAATCTTGGCAGTTGTCTCAAGTTGCTAGAACTGCCCAAATGCAGTGAGTATAGCCAGGATGGCTAGAAGAGGCCAGGCCCCCAAACCACCCAGTATCCGTGTTATGCTGTGTGTGTGTGGGTGCGTTTTAACTAATTACCTTTTTGTGTTTTGAAACATAGCACGAACAGAAAAAGTAGTTATATGCATGTACAATTTAAATGATAGTAAAATGAATATTGGAGTTCTCACTACTCTGCTTAAGAGACACCTGCTACTTATTAAAGTTAACTACTTCAACCAGACCAAATTAAAGACTTTATTAGGTGAATTACCTTTTAGATTTTATTGATACATGGACCATATTAAACTAGTAGTAACATCTGATTTTCATGAAGGAGTTTCCTATTTGTAACATTTTTACAATAATTTCAAATGTTTTAATAAAGTGATGTTAATTGTACCATAAAGCGGTTGCTTATTAAAGCAAATCATTTGATCTGTCTTGTGTTTGAAAAAGCTTGTGATGAGAAAGGTTTTTTGCTAAGATCAGAGCAAACCTCAGCAGTACAGTGCATTTCCTGTTTCTTTATGTAGATTCTTTTCTTTCTGATCCATAATATGTATTTTCTTTTCCTCTCTCTTGGTTGTAGCGTAGCAAATGCATGGATATATCTTATTTCAGCTGTTTTGGAGTTGAACTTTTAGTACAGTGCCTAGACCACCAAAATTAATAGGCAGGGAGGTGTATAATAAGAGGTCTGTCATGGTAGTGCTGAGCATCACAATTCTCATTGTAATTGTTCCATCAGTTATTTTTCAAGTGCAATATGAGTTCCTGTCATTACTTGGAAATTCGCAATAGGCTGATAGCAAGTTTAGAGAGTAATTCCTTTGCTGCAAAAAAAGTTCTTCCATCAAGCTTAATTTACAGTTGTGGATGGGTTGAAATGGTGCTTCTGCTGTGTTAGGATGAGAAATAATTAAGATATGGTTGGACATGAATCCTATCAATGTCCAAAAAATGTGAACTTAGAGTCTTCATTTTTAATATACACAGGGAACTAGAGAATATTGTATGGATTCCTTTGTTAAACTTAAATTGCAATTGTGAAAATTAAACATTTAGGCAGCTTTTAACTAATGTATTTATTTTAATTGATAGCTCATGTAAAGTAAAAGTTTTTTTTAAAGCATCTTTACTTCAGACTAATAACAAACTTCAGAAATATAAAATATAAATATATTTTATTTTTATTGTCATTGAGGATAAAAAGGATTATTTTTAGTTTTAAGACTTTAGGACTAATCATGTGCCAGATACAGTATTAAAAATTCATTGGAAACAGCCACATTCAAAGATCTAGAAGCTAATAACTTTGATTTTGTGATGGTATGTTGCAGAATATTATTGTTGCAGTAAGTGGAAAAGTACCAATCTCTTTTCTGATTGCAGACAACCTGCAGAACATTAGGAACTCCTTATATGAGTGGGTTTCAAACTTTTTGACTGCAGTCCACAGGAAGACATTTGGTTTTACTCATGCCCCAATATATCACAACATACAGACTATAATAAAGTTTTATGAAACAGTAATTTCCTGTAATACTTATGATACTGTGGTATACAAATGTTTCTTTTACTTAGAAGTTCACCAGGGTCCATTGACTTATTTTGGACCATAATTTTCACCACACATATATTTAAAGATTGCTTTCCCATGTACCAAAGACTGACTTTAAAATGCTGCTACTGAAACATAACTTAAAGTCTTAATTGATTTTTAAAGTTTCAAGAATTCTAGCTTCTGTTTTCTGCTATACTTGAAACAAATAACTATGCATACAAATATAGATTTTGCTGGCCTTAACAAAATTTTTTTATGAAACTAATAAATTCAGCTTATCTCTAAGCCTAAATAAATGTATACAGTTGTAAAGTGTTATTTGTTAAATGCTGAATATTCTCAGAACATCACCTAAAATAATGGAAGAAAACACACCTTTGTACCACCATAATAAATGTCAAAAAGCTTCATCATTAAAATCATGTATTTTTTCTTGTGACTTTTATGTATTTAGTTTCTTTTAAGTTTAAAAATCATAGGGTTACTTCTTTGTTTTTTACCAAGGGTGCAGTGAGGTTGGAATGACTACTAGTAGTCTACCAGTGGTAAGCACAGAGAGAGAGGAAGTGATATTTGATGTGTAACATTAAGGAGAAAAACTGGCTAAGTGCTGGTGAAGAATGTTCATGATCCCCAAGTCAAATTACATTTGGTGCCTTTGACTTTAGAAAACTGAGGAAATGCAAAATATTTCAGTAAAATTTTTATCCACAATGACTGAAGTAAAATTTTTGGCGTCCTTGTTTGGGGGAACTAACCAACAGGTAAAAAGAAAATTTATTTTTTTGTGGCATATGTCTTGCTGGGTAGGGCTGGATAGACAGGTACCTTAGTTATGATTTAGTTTGATTAAACAGGTATTTATGTGAGAGAGATTCTTCTAGGCTTGAGATATATATAAATAAGGTAGTTCCTGAGGAAACCAAGATGGCGGCATAGGTAAACACCGGAAATTGCTGCCTCGCACAACCACTTCAAAAATACAACTAAAAGACAAAATGGATATCATCCAGAACCACAGGAAGACTGGCTGAGTGGAAATTCTACAACTAGCAGGAAAGAGAAAAGCACACTGAGACTTAGAGGAGGTATGGAAGTAAAGTGCAGAGGTACGGAGGTGCATGTGGAAAGGGCTGGCAACTGAGGACACGTTTGCCTTTTTCAATCGGGAGGGAGTCTCAAGCTCCCGACTGCTCTGAACTCCAGTTCCAGGCGAGTCTCTGGGGACCCAGACTCATACGGGGAGAAACTGGACTGTCTAGCATCTGTTGGAACTCAAGGGCGGCTTTCTCTCAGAGGTGCTTGCAGCAATTACCGGGACACTGAAACTCGGGGCCTCTTAGGGTAGGACTGAGGAGCAGCCATAGCTGCTTGCTCCGCCCTGTTGAACCCCTGAGACCCCGCTCCACCCAAGCTGTGGGCAGAGACTTTTGCATATGAAAGACCTGACCCTTTGCAATCTGAAAATTACCTAACAAACTGCAGCTGGATTAGAGAGACCCAGAGCATCCAAAAGAAGGCCCAAGACCCCACAGCAGCTTGGATTGCTTCACAGCTGGGCCTCATCTGGGCACCTCCAAACCCCAAACAAAGAAGAGGAATCTGCAGATCTCTCTGTAGCTCCTGCTGGGTAGCCTCAGGCA